CTGGGCATTCGGGTGGGTGCCTTTGTAAACAGGAAGTAGATTGGTTGCTTGGATCGTGTTTGATACTTAAGATCTTACTATAAAATCTTCCTGTATAAACTCAAACAGACAAATTTCGTGGAAAGTGTTAGAAGTTTTATTTTTCAGACTTAGTTACAATGCTGCAGCTCTTGCTCTATTTCTCTCTTTCACACATTAAATTTACTTTAAAATCAACACTTACACATAAAGGTTTACTAGAATATGGGTCTATAAATGTGGTCAACACGTCTCTCACTCATTTCCTCTCGGTTTCATTGTTGTCTGTTCTCACTCGTAGCTCTGCTGGTGGCTGAAGTTTCTGGCATACTGGAGAGAAATTCATGTTTTGTTCCTTTATAGTTTGTGTATGTGGACTTCGCAATAGTTGTGCTAAATAAAATAAGCTTTAATAACAAAAGGAAAGTCCTCCGTTTTGTGTCCGTCCTCCTCAAAGCCGCTAACCGTGACTTCAGACGGCCGCTCCATAGGTCTGATAAGGCCGCTCACTAATCACTCCAATAACAGCTGCTTCCTCAGCAAAAATGCAGACTTTAACTGAACAGCTGCTAGTAAAGACAACAAGGTCAGCAACACCTGTAATCAGTTCTCCATGTTGAATTAACCTGGTAGTTGGTCAGTAATCAAGGCTGTTGTTTGTGAATTTCCGGGAAGGGGCACGTGATAGGAGTGTGACAAATCAGGGAAGGACACGTCGTGACTGCTAAGAACCAATCAAGTAGCGAACGCGGGGGTCTACGTCATTGTTTCCAAACTTATGCGTTTACGTCGTCCACACGAAGACGCAACCCCGGAGCTTTCAAACTCCTCCGTTTCCGGTGACCGAAAACTCCGGCGTAGTGTGAACGCTCAGTGTAAACGTAGCAAAACATATGCGTTTTCAAATGGAAACGTAGTAGTGTGGACATGGCCTAAATAGGACCATAATTCAGCACAGATTAGAAAGATTTATTAATCCAGAGTGGGGAAACTCATTTGCTACCAAATCAACTCATACAGACAACAAAAAAACAATAGTTTTCACAGCACCCAACAAACAGAAAACACAGTACAATGAATACACAACACCATAAAAAGCCCTTTGATTAACAGCAGAAAGATGCTACATCTAAAAACCACAAGTGTTCATTCAGAAACCGGACTGCTGCTGGAACTAAAACCTTCTGAGTCGTTTTGTAGAACACTGAGGCATCCTTAGTCGCTCACTGAATGAGCCTCTGAGTCCATTCAAATCACAGTGTAATGAATGACCTTCAAAATACACAACCGTTATAATCTCGGCCCTTGTTCTCTTTTTCTACAGTGACCTCCAGTCTGGGGTAAGGCCAATCACTGTGCCAGCCTTTCTGATCATCTTATTGATCCTGTTTTTATCATCTGAAGTGATGCAGCCACCCCAGCAGAGCGCAGCATAAAAGAGGATGCCAGCTAAGATTCCTTGATAAAAAAAGTGAGAAAGAGGATCATTTTCTCGCAGACTTCTATACAGTCTGACTTCTTTTTAGCAACCAGAGGAGTTGCCCCTTTCAGGCCATTAGAGAGAATGCTGGTTCAAGGCACTTCAGCATCGGCTTCACTTTTCAGACCTGGAGGTTGCTGTCGGTTTTATTACTGCTGTTCAAACGGTATTACTGACACTACAACACAGAGCAGGGAACTTATTTTAAAATATGGTTTAGAAGTGCAGCTTTTGTTTCTTTAACTTGAAAAAATATAAAATAATTTTAAATGTATACTCTTGCCTCCCTGATACCACAGCAGGGAGTTGCTGTGTGGTTATTATCTTCAGTGTAAAATGGGCTGCCGCTTTTGTCAAACACAACACACTGCTCTTCTGTCTGCATTTATTGCGCTTGTTCCAAATGTCACTGCACCCCTCCAAAGTCTGCACAGACTGCCATCTAAAACAAATGTCCATGCACTCACTTGTATATTTGAACATTTCACTCCAGTCCACAGTCTCAACTTTCCAACACCGCTAAGCTTTGTGTTTCCATCATAGATTCTCAGCATTTGTTTCAACAGTCAGACAACGTCACCAGCGTGAGGATGACTCAGATGTGAGGAAAGCATAAAGTACGGGTCAGCCTGTGGTATCTTAATTGAAATGTGGCAAGCACCACCCATGTAGGAAATATTTAAAAGTGCCGCATAACTCCGGTGGTCCGAGAACACAGACACACGCTACAGTCAAACTGCCTGCTGCCTGTTACGCTCTCCGATGTCTCCAAACATCCGCGCCTCTTAGCTTGTCACCCGTCGCTGACAGCTTCATCGAGAAGTCATCACAGAGCTGTCACCTACGAGGGCTGGCTGCTGAGTGATGTTGACGTCTTTTTTTTTTGAGAAGGGAGAAGAAGAGCAGTCAAGTAACAATATAAAATATCATTTTTCCTTCCGACAGGATTATTTTTGTTAATTTGGAAGACCAAATTCGGAGTGAAGGCCAGGTGGCTGGTAGATCCAAGGCAGATTCCATTCTCCGTCAGGGACAATGAATGAATGAATGAATGAATGAATTCTGAAACAACAGCTTTGGGTGGATATTCTCTGGTCATTTCATTGCACACGCAGGGGAAAGTATATAGTATAAGAGAGAAGATGATTGTGTATGTATGTAGCCCTGCAGGATGGAATTTAGCAAGTAATATGTGAATTTAAAGGTCGTTGCAATAGAATCATCTAAGATTAACCATAATGTGAAATTATTTACTTTAAACAAATCAAAATGAAGTTGCTATCCGGTTCATTCCAGCTTCACTTTTCAGACAAGTTTTAGTAAATTAATGGTGATAAATATAGGGAGAGGTCACTTGGGGCTTTGTTGCTTCAACTATGAATTCTTCAATGAACTTGCTTCAGGCACAATTTGGACTCCTCATAATTTACAGTATGTATTCTTGGTATTAGATGTATTTTCTGAGAAAAAAATAAATAAATGTAGTTAGAGTTACAGCAGTCATACCCTACATGCTTTTCACGCTTGTTCGCTGTCTCACAATTTTATAAATGTACAATTATTAGTGTTACAAATTGTTTATGTGTCACAAACTGTTGTGTCGTGGTGTTTTGCCCTGTTTCAGAGCGTTAGTTGTGGGTTATTATTTGTTGTGTTATAAAGTTATAACCATGATTAGGGCTCCCTCTCAATACACTCAACAGAACTAGCTCCGACCGTAGCGGTCTTAGCGGCGAACAATATACTTAGCTGCCTGTTGAAGAGTTACAGCATTTGTTTCGGCTCTGCACCGGTATGACGGTGTGTGAAAATTTTATATCATACGTGAAATTAAAACCGGTATACCGCCCAGCACTACCTGAGTCCAGCTGGCTACTTCATGATATTTTTCATTCTAATTAAATTGTTTTGATTAACAGGTTGCGATTTGCTATTTTTGTAGATTTTACAACCATACTTAGCTTCAAAACAATGTGAGCATGATGATAGAGACACGTTTCCGTCTGTCCGTAGCACATGATCCATGTCAACATGTCTGCATGTGTCCGTCTGTCCGTAGCACATGCTCCATGTCAACGTGTCTGCACGTGTCCGTCTGTCCGTACCACATGCTCCATGTCAACGTGTCTGCACGTGTCCGTCTGTCCGTAGCACATGCTCCATGTCAACGTGTCTGCACGTGTCCGTCTGTCCGTAGCACATGCTCCATGTCAACGTGTCTGCACGTGTCCGTCTGTCCGTACCACATGCTCCATGTCAACGTGTCTGAGAGGATGCATCCTGCAGAGTTAAAGATTGATGAGGGGACTTTCTCATTAGACTACTTAAGAAAAGACAGCAACTTGACGGTTGCGCGGGAAATAGCTCTGCATTTCCATATAGACCACACAGACGTTTAGTTGTGAACATACACACATACATTTGCTGATGCATTTGGACACATCCTCAGTGATGTTCCTGGAATCATCGAGTGTTTCGGGTGTTTCAACATCATGCACCCTCCTCCAGGTGACCCAGCCGAGGCTGATTAGACCCCAGCTTGTGTCCAGATGGCTAGCTACTCTGGCTCCTTGGCTCTCCTCTTTTGAGCCACGGCCATCTTGAGGCCCTCTCTGCCGCTTCAGTGGTAGTGCGGATGGCTCTCCTCTTCCTCTCTCCCACGATACCAAACATTGTCATCTCACACTTCAAAATGTATATTTTACCAGTGAGAAATCATGCAAACTAATGTCAGTTGTTTTAAAATATAAAATATATTGAAATGGAACTTACTGCAGAAATATATATATGAATATATTTTTTTCCACATCATTTATTTTGTCACGTTTGGTTTTTCTTTCAACATGAATTTTCATTCTTTCATCATTACTGCCCATAGGTGTGAAGTATATAAGAAAAAGGAATAAAGTGTCAACATGATCAAATATTTTTTCTATTTTCTTCAGATCATTGGACAAACATGAGCAATATGTGACTCAAAGCCATGATAGACAATTATTGTATGGCAAAATGTCAGGTTTTAGTGGCAGATGCAAGGGGCAGAGGTCAACCATAATGAGATCCAATCACTGTGTGAAATGCAGCACTCTCACTCTTAGCTTTTATGTCATTTTAACAGCAGGGCACAGTAGAGCATTCTTCCCCCTTCACTCTTACTTCCTCTAAAATCAAAATCCGTGCTGTGTTATTGTTATAACTGTCCAATTAAATACAGAGAGCCTCATTCTGCACAAGTACAGAGCGGCGATGTGGGAAAAAGAAGTGAAAAGAACACAAAGCTGGTTGAGGAAAAGCTGGTGTGCCAAAAAACACCATCACAAAGAACATGATCACAAAATGCTCTCAGAATGTTTTTTTGTATTATTTTGAGAGAATATCTATTCTGGTGACTAATCTACTTTATTAGTCATCATTATCCAAAGTATTTCCTCTCATTAATGAGGATGTACAAAGGTCAGATCATGGGAATGTTGAAAATGTTTTTCTTGTCATTGGGTTTTAGATCTTCCAGCACTCTTTCTTGGCCTCGTACCTGATCTACAACCTGTATACAAGGTGAGCAAACAGAGAGTTACAGCTTATCAACACACAGCTGGCATGGTAATATTACTTCCTTTTCATTTCTCGGTCATACATCAGTGACACACAAGCTACAGTTAACATGTCTTCGTATTATCTTTTATTTGAAGTCACATAACGACAAAGTGTTCTGACGAGATCAATAACAGTCGAGAAAAATAAATCCCTTTTGATGAGTCTGTGTAGACTTCAGTTCATGTTTTTAATCACTTAAGATGACACACATCATTCGCCTCAACATTATTTGAGCCTTTGGAATCTGTAAATTTGCAGTGTTTGTATCTGGACTTTAAGAACGTATGTGGATCTGTGCTGGTCTGCTGTGTAATACTGTCATTTGTCATTTGATCCGTTCTTTCATCAGAGAGGTGCGGGAGCTGAACCCTCCGGAGGTGTCCGATTCAGTCCTCCAGTTTGCCTCGTGGGGCGTTCACGGCCAGCAGCTGGTGAGTTTACGGGCCGAACAACGGCAACTCAGTCTAAAAGCAATGACGCTCCCATCATTCACTTAATCACACATTTAATACTGGAGCAAAGATAGTTCAAAGGAATTAGATATTTGTAATAAAACATTTTCACTTGATTACCCAAGCAAGTCCATAAACAACAACATAATAACCTCAATGCATCTCAACACCTACTGAGTTCTAATTTATTTCCAACAAGGAAATCCAAAGTGCAGATCTGCGTCTCTTCCCAAACAGATGCAAGTACAGTTCATACTGACCCACAATCCTCCTTGTCTCAAAAAGTATAATGTGTGACATATTCATATAAGAACTCACTCAGCGCTAAATATCAGTAAGCATGCATTGTACAGCTGCAGTCTAAATGGGAATGCATAAATTATCCAGGAAAATGCTTGACTAATATGAAATGTGAACTAATAGCTGAAGCGTTTAAGGATCTTTAGGGATATTTAGCCCCATTATTCATTTAAGAGCTTGGGTGTTTAGTCTCAGCACCATTGTGGAGCTGAAACGATTAGCTGACTCGTCGATTAGACGATGGGCAGAAATGTAATCAGCAACTATTTTGATTCATGTCATTTGTCATTTTCAAGCAAAAATGTCAATATTGTAGGGGACAGAAAAGACCAAATTCACGGGCCCCTTTAAGGAAAGGGGCGTAACCCTGGTGACAGGGGGGGTTAAAGGGTGGCAGGAAATGAAAGAGTGTGATGTGTGTATGGATGGAAATAAAGGTGCAGCCAAAGGGAATACTCGCCTCATCGTTTGTTTCCACGCTCCTACATTGGTGACCCTGACTCTCCTGGATGTTTCCAGAAGAGAAGATGACGATGCACGCAGTTTCGCTGAAACTGCCAGAGTTTTGGGAGATGCAAGTGGCGGTGTGGTTTGCTCAAACTGATGCACAGTTCGCCCTCAGAGAAATTACAGCGGACATGACAAAATATTATTATGTCGTGGCAGCTCTCGGCAGTTCAACAGCAGGCAGAGTGGTAAGCATCCTTGAAAATCCTCCAGAGAGGGACAAGTACGATACATTGAAAGACCATCTGTTGAACATTTTCAGGCTTTCGGACTCTGAGCGGGCTCGCCGGTTGCTTTCTCTGAATGGCCTCGGCGACAGCAAGCCGTCGGAGCTAATGGACAAAATGTTAGCTCTGCTAGGAAAACACGAGCCGGAGTTTATGTTTACGGAACTTTTTCTGCAGCAGCTCCCGCTGCAGGTGCGGGCCGCTTTGGCCATCGGCAGGGCCTAGATCCGGCAAAGCTCACCATTGCCAAGACAGTTTGAAAACATGGAGTGCCTAGGCATCATTCGCCGCTCCTACAGCCCGTGGGCTTCACCCCTGCACATGGCCCCGAAGCCTGGGGGCGGGTGGTGCCCGTGTTTTCGAAAGTGGACCTGGTATGAGGTTACCATCAAGTGCCCGTTCACATTGGACATTCCCAAGACTGCGCTGATCACTCCATTCTGCCTGTTTGAGTTCTTGAGGATGTCATTTGGCCTAAAAAATGCAGCGCAGACATTCCAGCGGCTAATGGACACGGTGCTGAGGGACCTGCCTTTCCTGTTTGTCTACCTGGATGACATCCTGGTGGCCAGTTCGTCAGGAGCGGAGCATATGTCTCACCTCCGGACTCTGTTTGAGCGACTCAGCCAGCACGGGTTGATCATCAACCCGGCTAAGTGCCAGTTTGGGTTGACCACCATTGACTTTCTGGGACACCACATCACAAAGGACGGGGCGGTTCCCCTTCCGTCGAAGGTGGAGGCAGTGACTAACTTTACACGCCCACTCACAGTGAGGGCCCTGCAGGAGTTTTTAGGCATGGTGAACTTTTACCATCGCTTTATTCCTCGAGCAGCGCAAGTGATGCGCCCCTGTACGAAGCCCTGAAGGGCAAGGCCATCAAACAGGCTGTGGACTGGTCCGAAGAGAGGGAACTTGCGTTTGTTGATGCTAAAACAGCTCTGGTAAACGCGACAATGCTGGCACACCTGTCACCTGAGGCTCAGATTGCCATCACCACGGACGCTTCGGACTACGCAGTGGGCGCTGTGCACGAGCAGTGGGTGAAAGGGGCGTGGCAACCGCTGGCTTTCTTCAGCCGACAGTTGCGGCCTAATGAGCGGAAGTACAGCACTTTCGATCGGGAGCTCCTCGGCCTCTTTCTGGCCATTCGGCATTTTCGGTTCCTGCTGGAGGCTCGGCCGTTCACGGCATTTGTGGATCACAAGCCACTGATGTTTGCCATGAGTAAGGGCACCGAACCATGGTCCGCACGGCAGCAGCGCCAGCTCTCCTTCATATCAGAGTTTACCACGGATCTACAGCATGTAGCGGGCAAGGAAAACCTGGTCGCAGACTGTCTCTCCAGGGCCGTCACCGGGGCTGTCCAGTTAGGATTGGACTATAACAAGATGGCAGAGGATCAAGTTACAGACCCGGGCGTCCAGGAGTTGAGGACGGCAGTTACGAGACTGCAGTTGGAGGAGGTCCCGTTTGGTGAAACTGGCGCTACGCTCCTGTGTGACGTCTCCACAGGCCAGCCACGGCCGGTTGTTCCCGACGTATGGAGACAACAGGTTTTTAATGCTATTCATGGACTGTCACACCCTGGCAAGAGGGTGTCTCAGAAGTTGGTGTCAGCAAAGTTCGTCTGGCACCGGCTGAAAAAGGATATACGGAGGTGGGCCGGGACTTGTGTGGTGTGCCAGCGCTCCAAGGTGCACCGTCACATAAAGACCCCTTTAGCACAGTTCTCGGTTCCAGAAAGGAGGTTCGATCACGTGAATGTGGACTTGGTAGGACCGTTACCCCCATTTCGTGGTTTCACACATCTCCTCACCATGGTAGACCGAACCACTTGTTGGCCAGAAGCTGTCCCGTTGTCATCGACAACGTCGGATGAGGTGGTTCGGGCGTTTATTCAGGCTTGGGTTGCCAGGTTCGGAGCCCCAGCTGACATTTCCTCGGACCGAGGCCCACAGTTTACATCAGAGCTGTGGGATGCAGTTGCAGGAAGCCTAAGGGTGAAGCTCCATCGCACTACCGCCTACCACCCGCAGGCTAATGGTTTATGCGAGCGGTTCCACCGGGCGATGAAAGCTGCTCTCCCGGCCAGCCTCAAAGACAGCAATTGGGTGGACAGACTTCCGTGGGTCATGTTGGGGCTTAGGACAGCCCCCAGGGACGATCTGCAGGCTTCATCGGCTGAGCTGGTTTATGGACAGCCACTGCGGGTCCCGGGGGAGTTTTTCCCCAAAGTCACAGACCCTTGGTCTGCAACCCAGCAGCGGGAAACGCTTCTGGAAAAAGCCAGGCTGTTCAAACCGGTGCCCACATCGCAGCACGGCCTCCCACAGTCATACATCTAGTCCAGCCTCAAGTCAGCAAAGTATATGTTCGTTTGCCAGGACGGCCACCGTGGACCCTTTCAACCCCCTTACGTCGGGCCATTTCGGGTGCTGGAGACCGGAGACAAAACCTGCAAGGTCGACATGGGCGGCAGGCTGGAATACGTGTCGGTTGACCGCCTTAAACCAGCACATCTGGACCTGGACCAACCGGTAAGGTTGGCTGAACCCCCACGGCGGAGGCGGCCTCGGGCCCTCCCACTGCAACACGACAGGACCCGGAAGGTTCCTTCAACGGTAGTCCTGCCTCCCACCCCAGAGACACGGAGTCGGGCTGGTTGGTTGATTCGGGCCCCGAGACATTAATGGTTTTGGGACTAACCTCTGGAGTTGGTGAATTCTGGGGGGGCGCATGTAGGGGACAGAAAAGACCGAATTCACGGGGCCCCTCAAGGGGCGTAACCCTGGTGACAGGGGGGGTTAAAGGGTGGCAGGAAATGAATGAGTGTGATATGTGTATGGATGGAAATAAATGGCCACAAGGTGATAGGCAAAGGGAATACTCGCCTCATCGTTTGTTTCCACGCTCCTACAATATTCAATATTTTATATCTTTGTGTTTTGGACTGTTTGTTGGACAAACAAGCAAATATCTAAATAGGTGTGTGTAATTTGTTGTTTTATTGACCAGCCAATGAATCCAATTATTGAGAAAATAATAAGCTGATTGAAAAAACCTTGCTGCATGCAGAAAGGTGAAAAGGATGTCTTATTTAATACCGTGTGACATATAATTAATTGCACTCATAGAATCCTACCTGCTCTGAGGTAAAGACTCGTCAAATTCTATTTTTGACTCGAGAGGAAACACAAACGCCCTCAAAACCCAACCAGTAACAGTTAGGCTAATCGAGCTGTTGCTGGAAGACATCTTGTTTTGCCACCAAAGCTCCAAATGCCTCCACCGTGTAGGGCATTATGCACAGAATAATCACTCCATTATTCTCTCCAGAGCAGACAGGGAAAGTAATTAACCATTTGATAGCGTATTTATCTGGTTTCCTCAGTGTTTCTACCTGCCCTCGGTTGGAACCTGAAGCCCTGCTGCGGTGCGTCACACGCTAATGACAAAGTTTCATTACTCAGCAGCTCTCCTGCATATTTGTCTGTGTTATCACTGGAGATGATACACTCAGCAAATGTGGGATCGGTTCACTTGGTTGTATTTTCGTTCTGCAGAGATGCTCTGTCTCCTCGGTCCTAAAAGCGGCAGTTTCATCTGCGTAGCATTTTTTCCATACAATTATGTACGATAAGGCGCATGGATAAGTTTCATACACTATAATGCAGTACTTATCACAGCTTGTGTTTTCAAATTCAAAATATATATAAATTGTCTCCTTGTCTCACAGATATATATATTTGAAAACAACATTTACTACCAAACGGATGTTCAGAGCAGCTCGTGGAGGCTCACGTCTTCTGGACAGGAGGGAGTCATCTTCAACGGCATCACGGACTGGCTGTATGAGGGTAAGAGAGAGAGCACTGAGCCATAAATCCATCCATCCATCCATTTTCCTCCGCTTATCCGGGGTCGGGTCGCGGTGGCAGCAGGCCAAGCAGGCTGACCCAGACCTCCCTCTCACCAGCAACATGTTCCAGCTCATTCTGGGGGATCCCGAGGCGTTCCCAGGCCAGCTGGGAGATGTAATCTCTCCAGCGTGTTCTGGGTCTTCCCCGGGGTCTCTTCCCAGTTGAACGTGCCTGGAAAACCTCCAGTGGGAGGCGTCCAGGAGGCATCCTAATTAGATGCCCGAACCACCTCAGCTGACTCCTTTCGACGCGAAGGAGTAGCGGCTCTACTCCAAGCTCCCTCCTGATGACCGAGCTCCTTACCCTATCTCTAAGGCTGAGCCCAGCCACCCTACGGAGGAAGCTCATTTCGGCCACTTGTAGCCACGACCTTGTCCTTTCGGTCACGACCCAGAGTTCGTGACCATAGGTGAGGGTAGGAACGTAGACCGAGTGGTAAATTGAGAGCTTTGCCTTCCGGTTCAGCTCCCTCTTCACCAAGACGGTCCGGTGCAGCGCCTGCTTTACTGCTGCAGCTGGAGCAGGAGTTTAAGTATCTCGGGGTCTGAGTCATAAAAGCCTGCCGAAATAACTAACTGGAAGGACAGATAGAAGAATTCAGATGCTACCTCCAGAATCTGGCACTTTGGACTCAGAATAGGAAAAGAACAATGATGATGTATGTAAGTGTGTGCACGCCGTTTGGCAACGGAAGTACGACGGAGTGTAATAGCTTGTCAAGCTAATTGAGGCCATTAACTAGCAAATAATGCAAATGCAACCTAAATAAAGTGACTTGCAAGACTTCTGGACGCTACAAACAGTCCAGAGGTAGTCAACACGTTGAATAGCTTGCAGCCATAGGCTTGCACCGCAGGTTCACTGGTGACTCTCAGACCAATGTGTCTGTGGTCACTCGTGGTGACAGCAGCTGTTAAAAAAACCATAACAGAACATGCAGGTATCAGTTTTAAATACATACTTATCTGTGTTTATCATCCATGCCAACTATTTATGTAGGTTTCTACGAGCAACTCGAGGCACACTCGGCTGAAAGTTACCAGTTAACTCGCTCACTCGCTAAACTGAAACACCTGTCGATCTGAAACGGTTGTGATCCTGTCTGTACTCTGTAGAACTTAAGTTGGCTGTTGGAATATTGATTCTGACAACCAAACATGCACCAACCAGTGGGATTAAACTCTTTGTCAACAAAGAAAGGAGGATGGAGTTTGTCTTTAATTGAACAGCATTTGGTAAGTCAACTGCGTTTGTTTTTTTACATCTAATATCTGAATGGCCCTCGAGTGTGTAGCAGAATGCGTGTTGCTGCAGGTCTGCTGGATTGATTTGTTGCTCTGTTGTCATTTTGTATCTTTTTTGGTTGTTGGTGTGCCGCGGGATCTTTTTAATGTAAAAAATGTACCGCGGGTCAGAAAAGGTTGAAAAACACTGATACAGAATAACTTGAGATTAAAAAGAGCAGCACAGACTAACTTTGGCGATCAATAAGCAGTAGGACTGAGCCCCTCTCTCCTGGCTCAGAGGGTCTGATCTGTCTTCTCTTGGTGTTCCAGAGGAGGTGTTGCACACGCAAGTGGCCCACTGGTGGTCACCTGACAGCTCCAGACTGGCCTATCTCACCATCAACGATTCCCTGGTTCCCAACATGCTCCTGCCCTGGCTGACAGGCTCTCTGTACCCCAGGGGGAAGGAGTACCCTTACCCAAAGGTAACACTTAGAGTACTAGAAGTCTAATCTATTTCCAGAGTTTAAATTAACTTTCAATTTAAGTGGGTTATAACATTGCTGCATTGATTTCGGGTATTGACTTGTTGTCAGTACAGAATTGATGCGGATTATTCCAGTTAAAGGTTCGCTGTATCAGGAGAGCAGCACCAGAACATCCTTTAGCTCACTTGATACCGTTGGTGCACGTTTTTCAATGGCCCGCCATGAATGTTTAAAAGTAAATTTGAATATCGCATGAGCATATTTCTAATAAATTACACATTGCATGTCCTAGTTTGAAAACTAGATTTTGACTTCATTAAGTAAAATCATTTTAACTTCTTGCCACAGAAACCAATATTTTACCATTCTCCTTTTTCTGTTTGTTAACCTCAACACTAGATCTACAGATATACATATATATACATCACACATTCACATTTGCGTCGTAATCCTCTTGTGGATGCTGAGGCCATGAACAGAAAATTTCTTTTTGGCAATTTTATGCCTGTTTTAACTTTACTTTTGCACATATTTACACATAACATCATATTAGAGTAATAACGTATTGAATTAATTTAACTTAATTTAAAAGCAGTACATATCATTTTCTTTTGTTATTTGTGGGCACACCAATAATACTGTTTCGTAGTGTTGCATAGTTATTTTGATCGAAAATACATTTTCTGTGGCACATGGAGTTTTCTGGTGTAGAAATACTGATCTTCTTACAGAGTAACTTGTGGAAAACTACAGAGTCACTATTGTGTTCTGTATATGGCCATCCATGCTATATACTGCACACTTGAGTCCACTATAACCTGCAACTCAATTGTAACAAAGCAGCTCTATGAATAATACAGCTGCAGGATCGCCGCTTTAGCTTACCCATAAAGGTTAGTGAATCCTCTTCTTGTTTAATTCATGTTACAGTGGCTTTGCTTCCTTTGAAGAGAGATGTCTGCAGGGATCTGTGGCACTGGGAGGGATAGGAATGTGATATGCTTCAGTGAGGCACGCTAACACACCTTCCTTTGAAGCGCACGTTCAGCGTACCAAATGCCTCTCAGACGGTAGAAGGGTTGTGGAAAATGGGTGGAGTGCGGGTCATAAGGGGAAGGACAGCCTCAGTTGTTGGTTAGGATTAATTGATGGGAGGAGGGGCTTAGAATAGGAAGTCATCTAATTAATGAAGCACTGCACTTAATGTTCACCTCCCCAACACAGTGTGAAAATTTGTATGTGCACACACACACACACACACACACACACACAGTGAGTCTTTTGCTTGAATCCTTGAGTGGGGTCAACGTTATGACATCATGGGATTAAATGAAGCAGAGATTTAATTGCCTTCTGCTTCCTTTTATCTATGAGAACACGGATGGTGTGTAGCAGTCTGACGGTCATACTTCTGCTTCAGTCACTGGGGGATACATTTGTGTGGGTATCTCTCAGTGAGTCAATAAAAAGTAAAAGTACCCGGGGGAGTATTCTTCATGGGTATAATGTGTCTGAACTTAAAGAAATACCTCATTACTGTTAGAATGACTGTAGTATCCACATTCTAGAGCCCTGCAAAAACTCCATAAACTGGTTTATGGCCAAATACCTGCAAAGCTAATGACATTTCCAACAGCCTCAGCTGTACTTTGGGTTTAGCGCTAATGAGCTAATCTAAGCATGCTATCACCTAAACCAAGATGGTAAACATGGTAGACATGACTTCTTGAACAGCAGCATGTAAGCATGTTGCCGTTAGCATTTAGCTCAAAGCTCTGCTTTGTTTAAGTACTATATATCATGCCAGCAGTGCAGTGAGGTTATACTTAGACAAAGCTTTGCGTTAAATGCAAAAGACAACATGGTAACATGCTGCTGTTTAAGAAGTCATGTCTACCATGTTTACCATCTTGGTTTAGGTGTTAGCATGCTTAGATTGGCTAATTAGCGCTCAACCGAAATTACAGCTGAGGCTGATGAAAATGTCATAAGTTTTGCTAAACCACAATATTGACAGTGATATTTTGACCTGAAGATGATGCCAGATAAGAGGTTCAGAGAACAAAAGTTATTGCAATCTATTTTCACAAGGCACAAGGTCTGTAGCAGATTTCATAGCAATCCATCAGACATCAGCTGACCACCAACCGACCAACCAAACAACTGACTAACTGATATATAAGCCCTTTTTACAGCAGCCATTTTTACATGCCATTGCAGATTAAACACAGGTGTAATAAATAACATTAATTACGGCCCCGTTCCATTTAGGTGGGTCAAAGCTCTGGTATTTTGCATTTAGTATGTGTTTCATCCATCAGATTGCTTACCTGTCATGTAATATGTGGCTAATAACACCAGTAGAACAGAATGGATCCATTCCAAGAAGCTATTGTGCCTCCAAAAGAGCAGAAAGTGAAGGGTTGGAGAAGACAGGAATAACAAACGGTACAGATAAGCGGGCATGAATGTGGAATTAATATTGTCATCCTAGATTTCCCTTGTCATGTAGACTAATGAGCATCATTTCTGAGTGAGGTGTAAGATGAGGAAAATGACGAACTCGGCCCAGGGCCTGTGCAGCATACAGCAACACAGTTTGTTTCCAACTTCTTTCATATTCTCATCATATTCTCTGTTAAAGTCTTACTAGCAATGTATGGCAGCATGTAAAAATAGAAAGCAAGTGCGGCGTGTTGCTCAGTGCCTATTTTTATCGCTAGACTGCACGCAGTGTGCATCACGGATATTACGTCCAATTAGATTACGCCTGTGAATGCAATTGTACATTTGTACTCTTTTCACCCCAGATGGGACAAATCAATCCCACCGCCAGACTCTATGTTGTCAGTCTGGACGGCAGCTCCCTCACAACTGAGCTGAGACCTCCTGACAGTTTTGAAAAGAGGTATGATAAAAACACATTTTAAATAAAAAATAATGTTTGTTATTTTTTGCTGACTACTAACCATTACCATTTGTACGTTTTTACTTAGTGAGTACTACATCAGCATGGTGAAATGGGTGACACAGGATAGGCTGAGTGTGCGTTGGGTGACTCGAGCTCAAAACATGTCAATACTTTCACTGTGCGATGTCACAACAAGTGACTGCACCAAGGTAGGGACATTATCGGTGAGACTTCTTTAGTCTTCTACAATTTATTTATAGAAGTGTTATGTACTGACTTCATCTTTCCAACTCAGAAGCATGTGGAGACGTCAGAAAAGTGGCTTGATCGTCAGGTGAGTGTGTCAGTCCATCATCATTTATAAGCCTATCAATATTATAGACTGTATGTTAGACGTGAATGTAATCAACGTGGGTTTTGGTCGTCACCATCATGTTTTTTTGGAACCAGAAGTGACATGAGAGGGTGAAGCTAAGTATCACCCAAAGCTGAATAAGACATTTTTAGTGGATGAAAATGTTGAAAACGTTCATGAACTGAAAACACACTGTGAAACAGACTAAGTTGTGAGACATAAGATAACTCCCAGACCGGAGAATGTTGTGGTGGAGACCTGTCAATCACAATGTTGCCCCGCCCTAAATCATTATGGTCTATTATAATCTAAATGGACCATAATTTACCAAATGAACATCATGCTGTATTGAAGAAGACTTCAAACTAGAGATTGAGACCATAAACTCATGTTTACAATGTTTACTGAGGTAATAAATCAAGAGAGAAGTAGTCATTTTCTCATAGACTTCTATACAATCAGAGGATTCGCCCCCTGGTGGACACTAGAGAGAATGCATCCACATCGGCTTCACTTTTCAGACAAGGATGTTGCCGCCCCGATATATACATTATTTAGGGAACACTGTTCATTTTTCTATGATGGTAAAATATAGTAGTCGATCTCAAATGCGTTGACAATGACAGGAAGGTAATTCTTGCAGACCACCAATGCTAAAGAACAAACCTGTCTGAGTGTTTCATGAGAAAAGCCATGATTTATTTAACCTATACCATTATTGCACATAACTTTATCAGCTTTTGTCCTGTTCCAGGCACCTGGTTCTTCCACTAACCACTACTACCTAATACTGGCAGGGTGTATGTCTGCTGTTCTTCTGTTTTCCCAGAATGAAGAGCCAGTGTTTTCCAAGGATTGCACAACGTTCTTCATCACTATGCCCTTAAGACACGGTGGTCGCGGGACATTCAACCACATCACCATGATCTCTAACCAAGTAAAACTATTACGTTTTAATAAAATAAACGACATTGAGTTAGGTGAATTTACTGTGTATAATATGAAACTTCTTGGGTCTATTTATTTTTGCAGTCATATTATCTGTCCTAAGGCTATTCCAATTATTCACACTGCTCATGCAGTTTTCATTTTGAAGTCTCATCATTTTAAACTATAAAACTAAATTTCCTTAAACACTAGAGAATTAAGAATACATTCAGTTGAATAAATTAATGAGAGTACAGTAGATGCACCGGGGGCACTTGGTTCTGTGCCAGATGAAGTCAGTTTCTGGAGATAATTTCTGAGAAGATTGAATGGCAAGGCAAGTTTATTTATATGGCACGGTTCTGCAACAAGTCGATTCAAAGCGCTGTACAGAAAACACATTATACAATACAATTAAAAACAGTCATTCAAATTCCAAAAGAATAGAAACTAAAAACAAGCTAAAATAGAACAGACCGGTATAAAATTCAAGAAGTAAAGTTACTCTGCTGCGTAAGAAATGATTTAATAAAAGGCAACGGCAAACCGAACAGTCTACGGCATAGATCTAAAAGAAGTGAGAGTTAGCTTTCTGGGAGTTTGTTCCAGATATATGGAGCATAGAAACTGAACGCTGGTTCTCCATTTTTAGTTTTGACTCAGGGGGCAGACCTGTCCCAGACCACCTGAGACATCTGGATGGTTCATAATGTAGCTGAGAACTAAACCATTCAAATCCTTGAGAGGAATTTTGTGTAAAAACCTCAGAACTGGACTTACGTGATCCACTTTGTTGTACTCAGTGAGGACTCGAGCAGCAGCGTTCTGAATTAGCCGCAGCTGCTGAATACATTTTTTAGGTCGACCTTTGAAGACACCGCTACAGTAGTCGAGTCTACTGAAGATAAATGCATGGACAACGTTTTCCAAATGTTGCTGAGACAAGATTAAGGTGATATAAGGCCAACTTTGTAATTGTCTTAATATGGCTGTTGAAATTCATGACTCCACTGAGATTACTGGCTTGGTCTGTAGTTGTTAACATTACCGATAGCAGGGCGCTGACTTTTATCCGTACCTGCTTGGCTCCAAAAACAGCTACCTCAGTTTTGTCTTTGTTTAATTGAAGAAAATTCTCGTACATCCAATTGTTGATCTGGTAAAAGCAAACAACTCACAAGTGCATCCCTTTAACACCATGTTGGTTATGTGAGGTCATGTTGACATGCTTTGTCTGCTCTGGTGTTGCGGGATTCTTTCTCGTGCTTCTCAGTCTGAGGGTGAAGAGGTCAACCTCCGCCACCTGACCTCAGGAAGCTGGGAGGTCTCTAGAATTCTGGCCTATGATGAGAGCACAAACTCACTGTAAGCATGCAATATTAACACCATATAATATGTGACATGACATACAATACAATATGAACTCTCCAATAACAGGTGTGTTTTTCAGTTATTTCCTAAGTACAGAGGAAGGCTCAACACAACGGCAGTTCTACAGGTACCATGTTGATTTGTCTTTATTATAGAAGTAGAGAGAGCACCTTTGTTCATTAAAGTTACTGTGAGGAACTTTTAACTGGTTATGAAACAGTCTCAATTTAGTACTGACAACTCTATATGACCTAGAAATGTGAACGAGACCATCAGCGAGAAGATTGGCTATTTCTATATCGTTAATGCTTTTCATCGGTGCCACCAAGGCGCATTTGGCACAAAATCAGATGGATCATAATTCAGATTCAGCTGAATCTGGAGGGAAGGGAGACAGAACCAGACCTGAGTGGGGCAGACTCTTAAACCGTGCTGCAGTAAAATGAGAGGTTCTCCAAAGGAACTCTGGTGCTTGGAAATTCTACCGCTTTTGTCCACAAGGGGTATCAAAAGCAACATAAACTGAAAGTTCCTCATAGTAGCTTTAAGGAACAGTTTGACATTTTGGGAAATACAGATATTTTCTTTCTTGTAAAGAGAGTTAGAAACCACTCTTTAATTATTTTATTGTTAAAAAACACTTTAATTATGTATTAATGGCTATAATCACATTTAATAGCCATGTCCATTCAAGTGAGTCATGTACCAAATTTCCAACAAATTGGCCAAAGAAAATGCTTATTAATATGCATTTCCATTGACTACTGTTATGTAACTATGAGATGTTGGTTCATTGAGACAAACCGTTTTTTCTCCAAATCTGCCATTAAAGCATTACAGAAGAAGAGAGTTTACATCAAGAAATCAGCAGAAGCCAAATCTCAAACGTTCGAAAAATATGTGGAAAAGCTGATGGAAATATGACATTTCTGTTTGTTTCATGTATTAGTGAGAGGAATATTAGTCTGCTCAACGTTACCAACAGTTTTCATCACTCCAGCTAATCTACGGCTTCAGTGGATTCTTTTCATGCACCAAGGCATGTTTTCAAACGATACACAAACTTTTACATCTCAACTTTTTTTTCAAGCACAATATATATCCATAAAAAGAAGCGTTAAACTTATGCGTTAAACTACTTATGCGTTAAACTACAGTGTAATACGTATAAATGACTGCATCGTATTATGGCACATGTTTCATTGATTTGTCTTTTGCTTGAAGGATAGAAACATGCTGCTTATATCAGAAGTTGTAAATCTTTTGAACTTCTTTTGTCCTCACACACCTAACAGAGTCTCCACACTGGATCCATTTCATAAAGAATGCCTCACCTGCTCCCTCTTCAAACCAAAGTGCACCTACTATGACACCACCCTCAGCCCAGACTATCAACATGTTCTCCTCCACTGCAGAGGTAACGCCTCATTATGACCAAAGCAGAGACATCATAGCTGAGTGTGAAATGAATTCACAGCAATGTTTAGCACCTGGTTCACCGTCATATCACATATTCACTTGGCTCTAAACTATTCTCAGAGAGTTAATTAATCATTGAATAAACTTTGTATCTTGATTATGTTCATTTTGAGAGCTCTCAATCGTAATCTTCCATTTCCGCTAAATTGAGTCAGTGTATCACATTAGTTCATTAATGACAGCTAAAAAGTGAAAAACAAAGCCGGCTACACACTATTTATCTTAACAATAAATGCGAGAGAGACTACTGTATGTAACTCAATGGATCATGACATGGAAACATTCCGAGTCTCCCGAAGTGTTTCTTCCGGCATGCCGAGCTTAAGCCGGAGCTGGGCTGGGTCATGTTGGCTGCCTGAGATGTGTTGGTGATGCAGAGCGGACACGGACAGCTGAGGCTTTGCTAGCTAAGCTGCAAAAGCAACATGCTCAGAAGATGTTGGTTCTCTTTGGATCGACCTCCATACGTGAACAAACATTCTCTGTGATGAAGTTTAATTAATCCAGATCCTCTCTCACTGACCATCACCTGTCAGCTGTCCTTCACATCTCACCTCACACATTCAACCTGACTTCAGCCACTCCTTCACTGAACTGACAAACAGAAAATTAGGTCATTGCACTACAAACAATAGTAAGAAAAGTACCAATTCATCAGAAACATGATCCCTGTCAGTGTTTTACTATTATACTGTATATGGATATTACAAATGTTTGGATCATTCTTCCTGCTGCAGATGTTTTAGGTGGAGCTTATTTTAACTATTTTGTACTCTGTTGTTCAGTTTGGGGAGTTAGGAAAGGTTTGAAAAGTTATAATGTGCAAAGTAACTAAAGCTGCCAGACAAATGTAGTGGAGTAAAAAGTACAACACTTCCCTCTGAGATGTAGTGGAGTGGAAGTACAAAGTTGAATAAAATAGATATACTCCAGTAAAGTACCTTGAGTTTGTACATAAGTACAGTACTTATAGCAAATATACTTAGTTATGTTCCACCACTGATCATAATATTTACTCTTACCACTCACAGCTTATGAAAACCATACAATGTACTTGTTATAAAGAGGTGGAATGACATAGAGCAGGATTGAGTTCAGTCTATTGGTCCGTCCCTCCACAACGGTCCCTGTTTCTCATGGGAAAAATAATTGCCCCCCTAGCTCTAGACACTTAACTCTAAATTGCTTCTGAAGGCTGCTCCTTCAGCGTGTGAATGTGTATGAATGTTAGTTAGATAGTTAAGAGTCCTGATGTGGGGGTGAATGATGACATGTATGGATGTATTGATGGAGCTTGTGGTGCTCAAAATGGCAGAAAATGTCACGTTGAACTCAAAGCAGATTGATCTAGTTTGATACATAGCGCTACAGGTAAGAGGAAAGATATGTATTTTTGATTTTTTTGGGTGGACAGTCACTTTATGGTCAAATGTGTTACAGTTCTGATAAAATGTGTGATAAAGTTGCATTCCCCGATCTAAAATATAGACCCCCCCCCACAGGTCCTGGAATACCCCAAACTACTCTTCACAGACTGAGTGATATGAACAGTAAGTAGGCACTAACAGACTCAACCACTTCTTCAATCAATTGCATCATGTATATTTATTCACTATGTTTGGGTGGAAGCCGATTTTCTGCATTAATCAATCGAATTTACTCAAACTCATTTATGTAAATGAAGTCACTGAGATCAATAAATCGGTCATCTTCGTCCTCTCCTGCAGGCTCACAGATTGAGGGGTGTTGATGATTCCAGTCCTATTGTATCACACTAAGTTACCATGCTGTTTGGCCTTGATTCCTTGTTAGTTAGTCAGTTTCCTGACTCGTGGGACTTTATAAGTCAGTTGTTTGCTGTGGCGGCTGATGGAACATGTTCTAGGGCTGTGCCACATCCAATCAATTTCAGCAAACTTCCCAGTATGATTTAATGCAAAAAAAATGTAGGTATCAAACACGTATTACTACTTTGCAGTTAAATATTTAACATTTATTCCAACATGAAAAAAAGCAGTAAATAACACTTTGACAAACACGTCAGGACATCTTATATTTGTCTCCCTCACAGGGAATTCAGTATAATATAATAATATATATATCATATAATAATATTCTGTATTATATAATAATATATATATATATCACATAATAATAATCACTATAATATAAACATACACATGACAGGTGCTTCATGTCCCTCACTCCCTAACTGTCCGTGCTGGATCTGTCCCCGTTGCTTTAAAAAGCTAAATAAGTTATTAGCGTGACGTCCTCCAGCTAGCCAAACCTGTCTGGTGTAGGCCTACAGCTACTAGAGAAGCTTTGCATGTAGGCTACTGCTTCCCTTTCCCGCTAGTCTGCTGTCTGATTGTGAGGTCAGGCTGATCTGGGATCAGCCCTATTGGCCAGCCGCCACTGGTTGTTTGTTTGATAATGAACGTGAACAGAGTTTTGATCATCTCGGCACACTTTATAGAACAGCAGGACATTGAAGTGAAGGAGTTATGGAGGGTTTTGTTTAGTTATTGCAGGTATGAGTTTCCTTCTAACTAAAGTCATTCTTCTTCTTGCCCTGTCACAGAGCACAAGACTGTGGAAAGGAACGCAGCGTTAAGACATGCGCTGATAAACAGGGGGATACCCAATTGGGAAAGAAGAACCGTACAAATCAACAACTTTGGTAGGACATACTGTAACAATCATCTTCAATGGTGACAGTAGTGATGGTTTCCAGCCCAATACGTACCCATCAGCTGGACAGACAGGCTCACTCACATCTGCACATTCAGGATAAACACAACTTGAGCAAACAGGTGCACAGCTTTCTGAGCTGATTATGAAACGAAGCCCTGTATCGTTTCAATTGGAGGCGACGGTTCACCATATGGCTGCCTTTTTCTAGTCTGTGTTTACCATTAGAGACAATGTGAAACATATTAAAGGCCTTTCGAGACAAAACAAAGTCAGATGGGAGCACTGACTTCAAACGCTGCATGCACAAAGACTTATTTTTCACATGAACCACCGTGTTTGTTTCAGCTTTATTTAGGGAGTTTGAGGATTTTCATAGAACCCTTTGATTCATTCAGGTAAGTTCAGGCAGTTTAGCCCCAAAGACAAAACGTTCATTTAATACGCTTCATCTTCAGTCCCCAGGTCCTTTAACAGGTCTGATAAGCGATATTCTCACTTTTCCTCCAGTGACAGTGCCGTCCTCCCATCTTTGCCCGGCTCGTTCACACCAGTTAACACCTCTGACAACCATTCCTCTTCATTTCAACCACTCTCACATCACATCACTGTGTGAACATAAAGGTTCTAAGGTTTTCTGGCGTGAAACATGAACACATCTTTGAGTTTGACTTTCTAGTCTGACTATGAAGCAAGGAATCTCCATCCGTTTGTCTCTGTGTGTCCTTCGCATATCTCGAGAAACATCCGATTTTCTTCACGTTTGCTGGCTGTATTGCTGGCGGCCCAAGGGAGGGCTTTCTCTCCTTTTCTTTTGCCTTATGTTCTGATGTTTTTAATGGTTTAATGTGAAGCACTTTGAATTGCCTTGTTGTTGAAATGTGCTATACAAATAAACTTGCCTTGCCTTGTCAAAGTTGTTGCAATTTGGACACGTCATGTGCTATATTAATTCACTTTTAATATGCAAGCAAGCAGTGCTCTGTGCAGCAGCTACCAACAACGCTGCAAGCAACACTTCCGGAAACCAATCAATTGGCCCAATCCAAGTGGACACGCACTCCAAGCGGCTACGCTTTAAAGACTGTGTCAAACCTTAAGTCAAGCAAAATCATTCAAAATACCACAACATTCTCAACTCCACCGCAACAACTTGTCAATGCTTGGTCAGTGCCCCTTGGCATCGGAGATCGACGCACTAGGTCCCTAAATATACACTTGTTACATGCATAGTGTCCTTTCAGAATAAACTTTTAATAAACTTCCCTCTTCACAAGAACTTTGGTTTTACGCAACAAAACCACTAATTTAGGTATAGGAAAAACGCATGGTTGAATATAACTTGACTTACTAGCGTCTCGCCTGTGACTAAACAAATCACGTGATAGACAAGTGACAAACGGGACACAAACACTAGTATGCCGAGGGGCACTGACCAAACGTCAGTATTTGAAGAGTTGAACGGGTTGAAGCAACTAACTCAGGAAAAACTATTTTTTGCTAAAGTTCTCGCGTTGATTTTTTTTTACTGTGACTGACTAGTATGGACTTCTATCGTGCTGACTATGCATTTACCTTAAAATCTCTGGCCTGAATGTTCAAATGAATGTTATGTTATGTAGCAGAAATTGTATATTGTATGTATATGACAATAAATTAAAATCTTGAAATTGTGTTGTTTTTTTGCAGCACTTCGTCTGGAGTTGATTATCCCAATAGGTTTGGATGAAACAAAGGAGCACCCGCTGTTACTGATTCTGTATGTCATTTTATTTTCCATTATATTGAAAAACAATGCAGAAAATTTTTATTCTATAAAGTATTAAATAAAGAAGCTGAGAATCAAATGCTTAGTAAACAAGCTGGAAATGTGTGCCCTAAATCACAAGTTCACAACTTCCAACAAAGATCAAATTTGAAGGGTCGTGTGATGATGATCATGTACATCATACCTCATTGTTAGGTAGATACATGCAACCAATGAGAAGGCACTGCAAGTAGATAAGGTTTTGTTTGAAGTGGTCACGAGCCTAAAATGTTGGGAACTACCGATCTGAATCATGTTTTACACATGAACCAACATGTTTATTTATTCTGGCTTTATTTTGATGTGTTGAAGAATTTTTGTGGACTAAACTCATACCGTCCTCTCACAGGGACAGCGCCCCCGGTGGTCAGGCTGTCATAGACCGCTTCTCTCTCAGCTGGGACTCGGTGCTGGTCAGCTCAGACAGCGTCCTCGTGGCTCGTCTGGACGGCCGGGGCAGCGGCTTCCAGGGTCAGAGGGTCCTGCACGAGGTTCACCAGAGACTGGGAACTGTGGATGTTCAGGACCAGATCACAGCTCTGGAGTAAGCTTCTCTTTTGTTTCTGAAAATGAGTCGGTTGATTGTATACAGTAGGTTCTCCAAATATGGCTGACATTGGTGTTTGTGTTTTTGTATTGAAGGTGCTTTATGTGTTGATATGTATTTTAATACACTTCTTCCTGCTGTTTCCCCGTAGCTGTGCTCATTTAAAATAGGACAAGTCTTTATTAATCACAGGAGAGAAAAGTTTGTTGTTGCAGCAGCACAGGGAAATAAAGAAGAAAAGATAAATAGGGCAAGTAGAAAAGAAAGAACAAGAGGTATAAAATAAACTAAAAATTACGAGGTAAATTGATAGTGGAAAGATGAATATTCATAATCATATCATATAAATGGTAAAACAGTTGGGATTAAATATTTTAAAAGATGGCTAATACTGTATAAATACTGCGTATAATGTTTAAGTAGACTGACATATGGGTCACATCCAAACTGTACCAACTGTTACTGTGACTTGGTTTTACACGGGACACGAGCGCTGGTCTCCTGGGTGAAGGTTCAACCTACTGCTCTAGACTTTCTCACTCGTAATACTACGTCAGTTGCTCTGACCATATCAAATTGATGCTGATGGGTTTACATTGGAGTTAATTGAAACCCCGGTGTGTCTCATACAGATGCCGAGGGGTACCTCGGTATAAGACCAAGCTGTGGTATTTGATGCTTTGGGTTGCATCTGGCTAACTCAGACTGCTACAGCTAAATTAGTAAACCAAGGATACTCTTTTACGGTGTAGTCTCATTAGGAAGGCATCACTTCATTTTTGCTGTGTAGTTAACTCTTTACATTTCCAGGCACCTGGTCAGACTACCCTACATCGATGGCAACAGAGTTGGAGTTTATGGAAAGGTAACATAGCATCTCTATCTAATAAATCAATAACCACTGAAAATTACTTCTGTTTCTTGTCCAACATTCTCTTAAAGCAGCCATGTTGTGTTTGTTCCAGGCGTATGGAGGATTTCTTTCTGCTCTCCTGCTCCTGTCCCACAGTGCCATGTTCCGGTGTGGCATCGCTGTCGCCCCCATAACAAACTGGAGACTCCATGGTATCATAGAGCGATGGAATATCATACATACTTACAGTAGCACAATGATCTGAATGTGTGGCCTATAAATCCAAAGCGTGACAAAGACATTCAAACAGCCAGTAAAACCAATTATTCCATAGTTGGTCATCAATGTTGACATGTATTCATTATCAGATTTAAGCTCTACTCCATGGTGATGGCATTTGATTTACAAAGCAACATTAAACAACTGGACCACCGATTCTGAATGTCAAACCAACCTAATAAGGCTAATAAATCGAGCGGAGCAACACAGTGTCCAATGTTTAGTGAAGAAGTAATACTGAAAGGCATTGGAAGTGTTGTTATGAATGAATAGTGAGTGAATTAAAACAATCACAATGTCTCTGTTTCCCTTTGTCATCCTTTTAAAGGGTCGGCCTACACCGAGAAATACTTTGGCTTCCCGGCAAAAGAGGATCACAAATACCAGGTAGGAACGTGCTTTTATTTTCACAACGGCAGTAGCTGTTCATGTAGAGAGTATACAGCTCGAACACATGCTCATTCTTCTCTCTGTTTGACAGGAAAGTGTTCAGATCTCACTGACAGTATTAAAGACAATGCTGCCCACACCTGAATGCAAACTACACTCTTTTATTCTGGCATTCGACGTGAAAAAAAGAGACGATTTTACTTCTGCAACCAGCACAAAGTGGGAGCTTTCCAAGCACACCTGTCATTTACATTCATATGAGTGGTATTGTGTAGAGAGGCTGGGCGAAGAGGAATCCCAAAAAAATTGGAGAGAGTGGCGATCATTGTCCTCTCAGCCCGTCACATTTGATACAGAAAGATGCTGTCTTTTATCGTTGAGTTTGTGTTTCTGGAGAGATAGAAAGTCCGATCATGTCGTTCTCCTCGTATTGCCTGTTTTCATTTTTGCAACACAGTGATCTGAATACGTTATGTTTGCACAACGTTGCTAACTGTATCGCGAAAACACGACACAAAAATCGCAAGATTGAAAAGAGTAACAGAAGCAGCAATCCGACCCATTGTCTGTCATAGCATATTTTAATTGTTGTAGTTTAAAACTCTCAGTTCACTTTCAGCTTCTGACTCAACAAATGAATTTGGAAACTTGTATGGTTTTTGGCTTCGTCCCGAGCAGACCTTTTTCACATTTGCACATCATAGCAGGAGAAGCAGGTGTAACTGATGACATTAATCATGGCTGCCTGCCGGCCTCGGGGCCCAGGTTGAGCCCACGCTGACTCACTGGCTTGGCTCAATGAACCTGAGACACTGTTGATGTGATTCATTACACCTGTGCTCTTTCTGCTTTCACAAGTCAATATGTCTGCTGTGAGACAGGTCTACTACAATGGCTGCTGGATTCCACAGATTTGCACTGTCGACTACGTTCATCTCCATAGCAACAGCGGCTGAGGCTCATGGGTACTGTAGTATTCGGAGACATCTGCTGTCCCAAACCGGAAGAAAAGAGATGATCTCTCAGAGACAGTGTTGAAATGAATGGCCATAACATAAACCTATAGAATTATTACATTATCCCGGATACTCCTGGACCCTAAACAGCATATATGGATGTATCATTAAACAACATATATGGATGTATCATTAAACA